TGAAAACAGCATGATTAACAAGATAACCCCAGTAGATAAATATAAATATTGTTACAGTGTTGTGGAGTTGAGTCTGATTCATAGAAGCTCTGTAGAGGGTTTACAAGGAGCAGCTGGTAGGTTTGAACTGCTGACCTTGTGGTTAGCAGTCCACTTCTTACTCTAAAGTGTCACACCAGGAACCCCTTTTATTAGTGGTTTTGTTACTCATGGTTTCCATTACCCATAGTCAAGTGGTTAATGTCAGTCTGAGGCATGGTTGTTGTTGTTGTTAAGTGCCGTTGAGTCGGTTCCGACCCATAGCGACCCTGTACAGGGTTTCCGAGGGTGTAAATCTTTACGGGAGTAGAAAGCCTCATCTTTCTCCCATGGAGCGGCTGGTAGTTTCGAACCGCTGACCTTAAGGTTCGCAGCCCGATTCGTAACCACTACGCTACCAGAGCTCCCTAGTGTGATGAAATATCCAGTTCAGGTCTGTCCTAGAACTGGCTCCCTTCTCCTCTGCTAGTGCAAGCCTGGATGGCATAATTAGGTGAACAGCAGCGCTGTGCCCAAAGCACCTTGAATGTGTCATAATGTATGTGTGTATGGGAAAACACAGTATATATGAGAGTAAATTAAAATGTGTTGCTCCTGTGGCTCCAGTTCATACATGCTCAGGTTTATTCCAAACAAAGCATATTTAAATATGTCTCTGTGATTGGTGGATGGCTGCAGACAAGTTATCTGAGTAATACATTTGTCTTAGTCTCATTAAGTTGTCTTCAGAGAAAAGGTCCAATCAAACTATGGTTACTAAGGGAATCTGCTGGGCTAGTTAAGTTGAAGACAGAGAGGTCAGCTCAGAATGTTATGGTGACTGTTTTTTTGAGATGCCAAAGGGTTAATACATAGAGATTTTATCCAAGGACACAGGATGATCATTGGGCATTATTACAAAGAAATTTAAGAAAATTGAAAACTACATTTGTACAAAAAAGGCCAAGAAAGTTGTGCCAAGGAATTTTTTCCCCTCATGACAATTTATTTGCACATTCTTCAAGGACAGCAAGGGCTGTCTGACAAGAATTTCACTGGACAACCTTACTCCATCTACCCTATAGTCCTAATTTTGCCCCTTCAGACTTCTTTTTCAAACATTTTCCATATTTCAAATAACATTTAAAAGAACATAATTTGAGTCCCTCAAGGGTGATTAAAAATGGCACATAATTGTTGGAGGAAGGGTTAGAGATGAAAACACTGCCTTCAGAAGTCTATAGTCCTAGAAGGAGGCTATGTTGAGATATAGTAGTTTCACATTTTGATCATTTTGATTAAAAAAAACTTCTATGGTTTTACAGCAATACTTTTTTTTACTTATTCTTATTTGAAAGGCTCAGTACTATCTGTGGTTTCAGGCATTCACTGGTGGGGGTGGTGGGTCTTGAAATATATCCTATGTGAATGAGGGGGCAGTACTATATTGCTTTTGATTCATAATGACCCCATGTGCCATATAAGTTTCCTAGGCTATGTAGCAGACTTGTTAAGTACTGTGGAGTTAGTTCCAACTCATAGTGACCCTGTACAGGATTTCCGAGGCTGCAAGTCTTTACGGGAGCAGAATGCCTCATCTTTCTCCTGTGGAACTGCTGGTAGTTTCAAACAGCTGACCTTGAGGTTGGCAGCCCGACTCGTAACCACTACGCTACCAGAGTGGGTGGGTTTAAATTGTCAACATTTTGGTTAGCAGCTGAGTGCTTAACTTTTGTGCCATCAGGTTCCTTCAATGGATATATATCCAACTTTATAAGTTTAAACTAGAATTGGCAACTTTCTTCCCATTGACCATTTATAAAACTATACAGAGTCACTATGAGTCAGAACCGACTGCACAGCACTCAACAACAACAATAATGGGATCTATGGGAGTACAATGCCTCTGAAGGTTAAGCATTGGATTATGAACCACAAGGTCACTGGTTCGTGTCCACCAGCACTGCAGAAGAAAGATGAGGCTTTCTGATCCTGCAAGATATATAGCCTCGGAAACCCTATGCAGGGTCACTGTGCACTGGAATCAACTAGATGGCCGTGGGTTTAGTTTGGTTGGGTAGTCTTGGAATCTTGGGTGGTACAAATGGTTAACACTCTGGGCTGCTAAATGAAAGGTTGTAGGTTTGAATCCATTCTGAGGTACTTTAGAAGATGGGCCTTGAGGTCTCCTTCCACATACATAGGGTTGCCAAAGCAACTTTTTTTTCTGCCAACTCTAGACCCAAAGGAATTTCCATTACCATTCCACCTGAGATTCTACGCCAGGTCTTTAGAGGAAGATTTTTGGGAAGAAGCAATGTCCTTATTTGTCCCAGAGCAAAGGAAACTGCCTATTCAACTCCACTGAGTTTATCCTGGATAAGGGCAGTGTCTTATTTACTTTTTTATTCCTATGCACAGCCTGAAGGTTTGGCACATGTTAGCTGCAAGCATAATGCAAGCTTTGTCTTACCTTTTGGCAGTTAAAATAGATTTAGAGACATTGAACATCCCTTCTTTGCTCAATGCCAGCTCTCAGGGAAGTGGTCAGTGAAAAGATTCCTACTAAAAGGAAATCTTTAGGCTTGGTTTTATGACCAGTGTCACCTCCCTCACTGGTGATCAGGAGGATTCTGAGTAGAGAGTGAGAGGGTACCTGTGGCTCTGACTTGTAGCAAACACTCAGAAATAGAAGAATGGATTTGAATTCCTTTATCCCCTTTGCTTACTCTGTCTCTTCCTAGTGTGTGGTAAGTTCAAAAGGGGAAAGAAATCTTGGACTGGAGATATGTTGTTGTTGTTGTTGTTAAGTGCCGTCGAGTCGGGTCCGACCCATAGCGACCCTGTACAGGGTTTCCGAGGGTGTAAATCTTTACGGGAGTAGAAAGCCTCATATTTCTCCCGCAGAGCGACTGGTAGTTTCAAACCGCTGACCTTAAGGTTCGCAGCCCGATTCGTAACCACTACGCTACCAGAGCTATAATTAAAGAAAATTACTATTGGAGTGTATCCTGAAGCTAGTCAGTTAACCAGTTGTCGTCAGTTGATTTTAACTCTGGGTGACCCCATGTGTGTCCATAGGCTTTTCTTCTGAGGCATCTCTGGGTAGACATAATCTCCATCCTTTTATTAACAGTCAAACACTTTAACCATTTGCACCACCCAGAAACTGAGTCCTGAAGTTGTTGTTATAAGTGCCGCTGAGTTGGTTCCGACTCACAGTGACCCTATACAGGGTTTCTGAGGAGTGCCTGGTGAGTTTGAACCACTGACCTTGTAGTTCAAACTGACCTTGCAGTCAAGTACTTATCCTACAGCACCACACCAGGAAGTTGTTGCTGTTGTTGTTGTTGTTGTTGTTAGGTGCCATCCAGTCAGTACTGAGTCATAGGGACCTTATGCACAGCAGAATGAAACACTGCCCGATCCTGGGCCAACCTCACTACTGTTGCCATGTTTGAGCCCACTGATGCTGCCACTTTGCCAATCCATCTTGCGGAGGGTCTTCCTCTTTTTCTCTGACCCTCCACCTTACCAAACATGATATCCTTCTCCAGTGACTGGACCCTCCTGATAATATGTTTGAAGTATGAGAGACGAAGTTTGGCCATCCTGGCCTCCAAGGAGCACTCTGGCTGCACTTCTTCCAACACAGACCTGTGTGTCCTTTTGGCAGCACTTTCAATATTCTCCTTCAAGACCATAACACAAAAGCATCAACTCAAAAGCACCAGGAAGTTATCCATCCTCAAATATCCTCTCTCATAGGCAGAGCCAAGAGACACAATTAAGAAGGATGTGGTCGATGGGCTCCAAAACTGAGGGGAGATAAAAACCTGAAGAAAAGGGAAACCCCTCAGAAAGGGATGTGTGAAAAGAGTCTATTAGCTAAATTAAAAAAAGACTATCCACAGGAAATTAATTAGATAATTATTTTATTAAGAAACATACAGTGTCAATTATAAAGCAACATGTGCATTTTCAAAAGTGCTCACAAAATAAATTAAAACTATATTCCATAAATTAAAAAATATATATTTTAGCTGTAACAAAAATACTTCTTCAGGATCTACTTACACATACCACTCTGTATGTTAGTTAGATAGATTCTGAAGAAGTCTTTTATCTGTTAGATAAAATTTAAATCTTGGCTTAGAATACTTTCACAATATTTGGCTAGAAAATTCTTTCAGATTAATTCACTATATTTAAAACTATTTATATGATCTAATTTTGCTTTTATTTTCTCTTTTGTAAATTTTTAGAATGAGGACATAGTTAAGTATCATTACATGTGGAAAAAATGCCAGTCTCTTAAACAGATGAAGGTTTAAACATTTTTTTTTTCTTTTTCAAGGGAAAAATGTTTCCTCTAGTAGACTTTTAGATTCTTCTCTTAAGTAAGGCTTTTACAGTTCCATGTTAGAATTAGTGCCATGAAGCCAGTGGCCTGGTCATGCAAGCTATACAAGTTTTTCCATATTTGAGGGGTATATAACTTTCCCCACGTTATTTTGTTGTTGTTAAATGCTGTTCTGACTCATAGCGACCCTGTATAGGGCTCCTGAGGAGCAGCTGGTGGGTTTGAACTGTTGACCTTGTGGATACAGTCCAGTGTTTATATTAGAGTGTCACATTAGGACTCCATTTTTATTGTTTCGTTGCCACTGAGACAATTATGACCATGATGTGTGTCGAGTAGAACTACTCCATAGGTTGTGACCTTTCAGAAGCAGACTGCTAGACCTGTATTCTGAGGTGCCTCTGGGTGGATTCAAACTGCCATCCTTTTCAGTAATAGTTGAGCAGTTAACAGTCTGTGCCATCTAGGACCTCCTTACACCCTCCTGAATAATAATCTATGTTACAAAAGGAAAGATTACAAAAATAAATTAAACTTCCGTAATTAAAAAAACAAACTATTGGTGATCTTTTAGATGTCACAGTTATATTTAACATTCCAGCTACCTTATAAAGATAAATTATTTTGTTTCTGTCAAAGATAATTTGTTTTGTTTCCGCAAAATTCTAGTGAAACGGTGCCACAATTCTATTAAGTATAAAGCTTTTCCCAGACATCCGTTTGTTTTGACTTCTCTTTTCTTTCTCGTCGTTGTCTGGGTATTATTTACCTGTAGAATAGGAGAATTAACAGTCAAAATTAATTTTTACTGTCTTTAGCAACTGTTGTCTTCTCTATGGAAACTTATCTTTCAACATGACCCCAACACACTTGCTTATTGTATATCCCTATATGTTTACTCCAGAGGAATCTCCTCCTGACTCTCCATTCATCTACTCTGGCTTCTTTCACAGAGCATCTTCCAATTGCTCAGAACTGTCTTCTGGAAACGCTCCCAGAATTCAAGAGAGTGTGTGTCATTTATCCTGGCTAGCACTCACTTACATGCTGTTTTAATTATTGCATCATAGATATTAACCATGACACTGAACGCATAAGATATGCTGAATATTCACTGAATGACTAAATAAGTCAATACATTATGATTTCAATATCTCCCTGACAAGATCATAAGTTACAGACAACATTGCCTCCTCACACACATCTTTGAGTAAACCTATTCTATTATTTGGCCTCAAATAATAGACCCCAATCACACCTACATGTGCCCTGGACCCAAACCCCCCACCCCAAACAACTTGATGTTGTTGTGTCATCAAGTCGATTCTGATTCATAGCCAGTCTGGACAGGGTTTCCTAGGAGTGGCTGGTGGGTTAGGCCTTGTGGTAAGCAGCCCAGTGCTTATCCTGCAGCACCATACCAGAACTCCTAAAGGTTCCATGTTGCTGTTGTTGTTAAGTACCATGTTGTTGTTGCTAAGTTTCATCAAGTTGGTCCCAACTCAAAGTGCTCTCAAAGTGTACAGTTTCCACGGAGTGACTAGTAAGTTAGAACTGCTGGCCTTGTGGTTCAAATTGACTTTGTGGTCCAGTGCTTATCCTACAGCACTACACCAGGATTCTTGTATGTGCCATGCACAGTGAAGTCAGTTTCTGAGATTGTAAATCTTTACAGGAGCAGAAAGCCTCATCTTTCTTCTGCAAAGCTGCTGGTAGATTAGAACTGTTGACTTTGTGGTTAACAGTTCAACTCATAACCCACTGTGCTACCATGTGCCACAAACACCCTCAGGTCTTTTTGAAGAAGAGTCTAAACTTACAAAAAAAAAAATTCTAATGAGTTTTTAGTGTATTTCTTCATCTGAATTATTCTCGAGACAGCCTGGGTCTCATAGACACACGATGTTCAGAACTAATTGAGTCTACCAAGTTCTGAAGCATAAACTTACAGTCTAACATCTGCTAAATCAACTAAATACCACCATTGCTAGACATTCCCTTTGAGCTTGAATGAAGGTCCGGATACATTACTGTAGGCTTCCTTACATACTATCCAGGAACTTGATCTAGTCTGTTCTCTGTGCTCTTCTATGTACATGACCTTCATCATGACCATCCGTAGATTTGCCAGGATTGATCAGAAAGCAGAGTCAAACAGATTTCCCACTTAACTGCCTTATGCTGAGTTTCTAACTCAGAAACCACCCTGTGACCTTGTTCTCAATCCCTAAAATGTAATAGCCTTGGCCACTCCCACATAGTGTCCAGACTGATAGGTCCACGGAGCTAATAAGCAGCAAGTGGACATAGCTGTATTTATCTCACTTTGTCTTCCTTCAGTTTGTCATCATGCAGATAAATTTTCTTCTTCACTTGTCTGCTGAAACACATATTTTTGAATACTTTATATGTGCAAAGTACTGTTCCAAGTGCTTTTACATATATTGATTCATTTAATCCTCATAAATACTATGATCCCTATTTTTCAGATTAAACTGAGGCACAGAGAGGCTAAGTAATTTATCAGAATTTTCCGTTAGAATTCAATGTCAGGCAGCCTACTTTCAAAATGACTTCCCGTAACTCTCCATAACATCTTCTCCAGCTCCTTCAGATGCATGTAACTTCATGCACAGAAATCCATTATGTGAACTGACACAATACCATTCATAAAAGCAACTGAGCAAACGCAGGGTTAAAATTTAATGTATAGCTTAAAATTTTAAGAAGCACCTAATCATTAAGCCCAAACAGAGCTGCTCAAATTTTGAAGTGGATCAAAATCTCACAAAGAGCTCCACCTTCAAGGATTGTGATTTTGAAGATCTCAGTTGGGTTTATAAGACCTTGCACTTGACACCATCACTCTCTCATCTCCAATACCCAGCGCAGACTGATGTAGGAGGGTCAGGGATCGTACCTGAAAACACTGGCCTGAGTCTTAAAATCACCTCAGCCAAAACAGCATAAAAGCCTGAAAAAAGGTGGGTTTGGATCCAGGTATATCAGTTCGGGATTAATTGACAGTTTATATTTTTTACCCATCTCACTTACTCTTCAAAAAATAAAACCTGAATAAGAATCGCAGAATGACTTTCGCATAAAATCCCGAGTGTAACTTAGAGTGACCTCTAAGATATTAAATGGCACATAACAACAACAACAAGAATATGTTCAATGGGAGTGGTGAGAGAGAGAGAGAGAGAGAGAGAGAGAGAGAGAGAGAGTTCGATGTGACCGGTTTACCTGACTTGCTGTGTAGCCAGGACATCGCCGAGTCAGGGACGTTTTCGTTAAAATTGCGAAGGTTTCCTCCGCCAGTGATGCGCACCCAGGGTCCGGATTGAAAGTATGGCGCACGATTTCATTGAAGCACTGCGACTGCTCACAGGAGGTAGTTTACGAGAATGCCAGAAAAAAAAAAAAAAAAAGAAAGTAGAAAAGAAAAAGAAACGACGGGAGAGAGAAGCGAGCAAGCGAGAGAACGCTCGCAAAAATTGAGTGAAAATGGTGGCGGGGGCGACAGAGGAGGAGCCAAAGACACACACAAAAAGGCAAGTAAGAGAGAGGAAACACAAAGGTCATGGACAAGGAGAGGGAAAAAGAGTCCAGGCAAAAAGCAGGAAGTAGAGACGTAGCGAGAGCAGCCGAGAGTGCAGTCGGAAAGAGGCGGGGAGGAAAAAGCAGAAACAGTTATGGATCTGCACGGACACTTGCTCACTCCTCCCAAGTCTCTGGGCCCAGGCGGCTGCCAAGAGGCGTTGTCCAGTGCGATGGCTCTACATCCCAGGAGGTGGTACCCCAGACGTCATTTCTAGGCCCCAGTTCCCTATTTGTTGTTCTTCCCGGGAGGTAGTGTCTGCAGGAACACTGCTCCATCTCCAGAGATTTCCTCCCAAATAAGAACTGAAGTGGCTTCGGAAGCCTGGCACAGCTTCGGAGTTTGCTGGCTGCCCCGCGCTGGCAGCCCTGTTCGCCCCCTACTACGGAGCCCAGCCATCGACAGGAGTTCTACACGCCACCGGATACTCCTCTTTCCCGGACCGCCGGCGTCTATATGGAGAAGCCAGCCGCACTGACCATTCTACTCACCTCATTTTTACAGAACTTGTGGGTCATTAACTTGGTACTTGTGGTCTGGATAGAAATGGGGAGACAAAAGATACATTTTTAACGTTGAGAAGGGTAAAGGCTCTTTAAGTTCAGAAGGGTAATAACCCCCAGTTGTTTTCAGACCTTAAGGAAATTCTGAAAGTAGTTTCTTATTTAGGCACTTGTTTTCTGAGTCTACTTTTTATCATTGAATAGCCAGCGAAAAGTTTAGTCTTCAGATGGTGCTGTCTAGTGTTTTAAACTGGACATCAGAATGCCCTCTGCCCAGATAGACACCTCCCCCTAATTGGGCACACCTGCCCACACGTGAGCAATAATGGAATTCTCTGATGGCCACATCTATTTTACACAAGTACACTCTATCCAGACATAAACTAATTAGGAAAATGCTGTATATTAAAACAAATCTCAAGTGCACTATGTTCTTTAACAGCATCCTGAAACATTTAGAACACTTGAAAGACATCCTTCCCTGAGCTTTCCACTCTTCTTATAGCACTTAGCGTGCAAGAATTCCCCCTTTACTCCTTTCTTTCTCAAGTTTTTATCCACTCAGTCATTAAATGCTCACTTGGACCAGCACTTTAGAAAAGACCAGACACCATTGATGGATGATGTTACCTTACCTATCAATACCTACTCCTTATCAGCTACCTTCTGCACCCATAGAATAGACCAATTTATAGAAAGTTAGTTTAGATGCAAATAATATTTTTGAGGTTACTTGTAAAAGTCTTGACAAAATGCTGTCTTATGATTTTTGACAAGTTATTTTTCTTTCCTTAAATGTTAAATTGTAGTGTGTGTATCTGCTTACTTTTCCAATGACAATACATTTGTTTTTAAAAATCTGAACTTACCTGATTCACATATTTCTTCAGCTCTGGATAGATGACTTTGTCATATTCCTGTGTAAAGTTTCTGAAGTTACATCTAGTGAAGTCATAGGTTAGCACCAGCTCTACCAGTTGCAAGATGAAGATCTTCCAGAAAAAACCTGATAGAACAAATAATAAAGTATCAGGCAAGGTATTTGGAAACCTTATTCTACTCCCGTTTTCACATAAAACTCTCTCCACCAAGACCAAACTGCCTCTAGATCTTAAAGAGTCAAGCAGCACTTGTAGTCTCTAATTCCCAAACTACAGGAACCCATATTCACCCATGCTGTTGCCTTAAATTGGAGTCTCCCTGATGCTCCAGAGCTTTCTGGCTCCCCATATATAATACCTAAACGCCTACGGGCTCTTTTCTCCTAGGCCAATGATTTTCTTTGATGTCATTCTCTTCCTTTATAGAATTCTGAATTGATGACCTGAAAGGAAAAAAAAAGGACCAGCCAAATCTATGGAATGTTAATATTAGTAAAATTATCAGGAATTTCCCTTATCTCCCTTCTAACCTTTGTCCTAAATGAAACTCATCAAATAATTCTAACTCATATTACCCTACAGGTCAGAGTATAGTGGGTTCGAACTGCTGACCTTTGGGTTATCAGCCAAAGCTTAACAACTACATTGCCAGAACCCCTTTTATCTTTGCCCTAGGTCGTTGCTATGTGTCTGAATGTGCTTTAACCCCTGGGACATACAGTGCCCACCTAAATTTTCCACTTCTGCAGCTAAGTGGGAAACTGTTATCCCACTTTTAGTGCATGCTGCCATAGGGCAGAGGCCTATATAACTGCATTCATTGGAAAAATGAATCTCATTCTACCAACTTTTGCACCAGAGACCCCTTGGGACAACATGTGTCTCTTAAAAACAACAATTATATCAAAATCCGTTTTACCTAAAAGCACTTTTCATTTCATTAAAAAAATGCCTTCCATTATTGAAGACACATGGTTTCAACAACAAAAACAATCAAAGGTGAAAATTATTCCGTCTTTAAAGTATTAATAAATAGATATCCTCACATTCCTAAAATGTGTCTTTCTCTGATAGGTCAATTTCCATTATGGACCTTTTCTGTGGAAAAGAGACCTTTTGAAACCATCAGCTACTTTAAAGATCTGGTGCGGCTACCTTATGTCCTGTAAGCAGTTGTCCATCTTCAACTAGTCCCATCCTTCCTTCCTGACTGCAGATAAATCACATGTGCTTATATTTAACAGGATGCTTCGGAGGGCTGATACAAGTGTAAAGGTGACCTTAGCGGCAGAGCTGGTAAAAACTGAAATGAATAAAGAACAGTCAGATGGGCCTTGTCCTCAAACAGCTACTTTCCAAAGTGCCCTCTGTTTCAGGAAAGAACTGCATACTTTTGATGAGTTAGGGGCCTTTCTGTGTCTGTGTCAAGAAGTTTATGCATGTGTCAAGAACTTTTAAAAGTAAAAGTAAAAGTCCAGCACCTTGATTTCTTCATAGCTCCGTTCTTGAGATCAGCCTAAGAGTGGATGCTAGCAGTGAGAAGCGCTGACAAACAGCCATTAAGGAGCGTCAAGCAAAGGTGCTGTCCAGCGCGCAGCTCGCCCGGAGGCAGAGGCGGCGCGCGGTTCTGTGTGCCCTGTGTCTCAGGCATACAATTGCGCAGCGTAGCCTAGAACTCTTTGGTTGTCTGGGACCTTAGCACGGACACTAATTTTTTGGGAAAAGAGAAGCAGTAGGGTGGCCGGCTCGCATTTGTACTCTCTTGTTAATACAGAAAAGGGACTTTAAGAGAAGTCAAATGAGGCGGGGAGAGGAGCGCTAGATAGTGGCGCCAATGGAGAGGTTGACGTGGGGGAAAGGAAGACCTTGAAGAGGCTGCTAAGGAAGGAACCCTGTTTAGCTTCAGCTTGGCTCCCGTCACCTCAGTCTTCCTAATGCTCAATTCCCCTCACTTTCTCCCTCCCCCCTCTCCCCCTCCCCCCAAAGCTTGTCTGAGCTTGCAGCGCCTGGTCCTTGGGAAGTTCCTAGGAGTCATCGTCAAGAGCTGCCGAGACAGGATGCCCCAATTTAGTCCCCGCAAATGTCACAGGGCACTGGGAGTCTGGGAACAAGACCAGAGGCTAGAGAGTGGGAAGTGGGACAGGCACAGACGGGGAAACCTTGAGTTAGGGATGAGTTTTTATCATAGAAGCTATACAAGAATAGCTGAACCCGGCACTCTGATATTAGGAATGGCATGAAGAGTTGTGGTAGTAACAATACTGTTGGAAAGTCGCTGATTCACCGCTGGCTCCAAAGAGAAGCTTTTCTGGAACTTATCAACTAGCAGGGTTATGTCATACAAGCAGCCTTCTTCCTTCTCAGGATACTGCAGAATGACTTCAGAGTCTGATTCATTTGCTGTGACATCAGAGGTGATTCTGGCCAACAGCTGGTCATGAGCTAGGCAGACAAAAGTTAGACACTCAGATTTCCTCATCAGTTTCAAATATCTCCTGGGGACAAAGGAAGGGGGTGTGGTGACTGCTCCTGCTACTCTTACCTTACAGGCCTTCCCTATACTATAAGCTTGCTGTAGAGCCAGAGTGCAAAAATCACCACTAAAATCCCCAGTGACATCTTTAGACTGTTGATGGAGCCGAAGCAGCAGGAAGCAGAACCTCACTGAGGTTCCACTTGCTTTCTGGGGATTTGTAAATGAGCTGCTTCTCTTTGTTTTTTCCTTTACAATTTTTGAGGTTCTGAGGTCTCTGCTCCCTTTACAGAGATGAGGCAATCAGGGTGGCTGGTAATTAGGTGCCCACCAAGGTTTCTCTTTGCCTATTAAGTGCACTGCTAACCACTTGGTTGCTGTGGCCTTCAGCTTCCTCATCTGTAATAATATGACCTGTTGTTGTTGTTAAACACCATAGAGTCAGTTCCAACTCATAGTGACCCTGTATACAGTTTCTTAGGAATGTGATTACTTCTCTGCTCAAAAAACCTTCACTACACCCCCACTTGCCTTGATATTCACAATCACAACACCCAGCTCCTTTTTCCTAAACTATTTTTTCAACTTTACATCCTTCATTCTCCAAGGCTTTTGCTAAACAGTATATGAACTTAATATACTTTATACATGCCCTGAACCATCTTTATCCCAATATTGCTAATAGGTGTTGTAGAGTCCATTGTGATTCATAGTGACCCTGTATAGGGTTTCTGAGGAGTGGCTGGTTGGTTTGAACTGCTGACCTTGTGGTTAGCAGCCCCATGTTTATCCTACAGTGCCATACCAGGACAACTCCTTCCATATATCCTTCCTCCCCTATATATTCACATTCTTGTGCCATTCAATGCTCTTCTCACTTGACATCGCCTCCAAAAAAGTAGTCTCCTACTTGCATGTGACTTCTCCCTCCTTTAAACCGTATTTTACAACCCTCTGGTTTTCCCTCTTAAGGCCTTCACAAGCAAAAATATACCTGTTGCCACCAGTCAAATCAGTCATTTTGGTTCATGGTTACCCCATGTGTTAGACAGTAGATATGCTCCATAGAGTTTTCTTGGCTATAGTCTTTATGGAAGCAGATAGGCATTTCTTTCACAGAGCCAGTGAGTGAGTTTGAACCCCCAGCCATTAGGACAGTGGTCAAGCATAAACATTTTATACTTCCCAGGTCACTGGGATCTTTACCACCTCTATATAATAGTTCCATAATTTTTTTTTTTTTTTACTAGATATTGAATTATTTAAGAGCAGAAAACATTTTATAAAAGTTTATTAGCTAAATATCTTTGACTGTTTAGTATTTCCAAAGCATTTGACTTGCAACCGTAAATGCTTTGGTGCTATAAGGTAAATAACAGTCAAGATTAAGATATAAGAAAGGACTAGAGGAGGTGAGGAAATGTCAGATGTAAACATAGTTAAGAACTAGAGAATTATAACAACTGAGCTCAGGAAATTAGTTCTGAGCTTCCAAACAGCCATTACAAAGATGAGGATATGATGGGAACCTAGGAAGTCCTGGTGTGGCACTGTGGGTTAATGCTCTGGATTGCAAGGTCAGTTCGAACCGCAAGGTTCAAGCTCACCAGCCACTCCTCAGAAACCACACATAGAATCTCTATGAGTTGGAACCAACTTGACAGCACTTAACAACAACAACAGTTTATAAGGAGCCCTAGTGGCACTGTGGGTTAGGCATTGGGCTGCTAATTAAAAGGTTTGCAGTTCAAACCCAGCAAGCAGCAACTCAGTGGGAGAAAGATGAAGCTGTCTGCTTCCATAAAGATTTACAGTCTCAGAAACCCTATATAGGGTCTATGTGAATTAGAAAAGACTCAATGGCAGTAGGTGTTTTGGAGTCCCGGTGTTGCACTATAGGATAAGCACTGGACTGCTAGACACATGGTCATTAATTCAAACCCACCAGCTGCTCCTAGGACAATCCTATACAGGGCTGCTATGGACTGCACTGACTCAATGGCACTTAACAGCAACAACAACAACATAGATTAATTAAAAGGCATCCATAATTCAGCCTTCTGTATTCATTGTCCAAGTTTCACATGCATATGAAGTGATTGAAAATACCATGGCTTGGGTCAGATGTACTTTGCTCCTCAAAGTGACAAATTCATCAGAGGAAATCATTTTTTTTTAAACCTATGATAATCTTCATAACCATGCTAGGGCCCACGATGGTTTATCTACTACAAATTACATACTACAAATAGTAGGTATAGTACTGAAACCCAACACAACCGACTGCTACCCAGTAGATTATGACTCATAACAACCCTGTATAGGGCTTCTGAAAATGGCTGGTGGGTTTGAACTGCTGACATTGTGGATAGCAGTGCAGTGCTTATCCTACAGTGCTACACCAGAACTCCATGCGACATCTATGTTGTCAAGTGCCATTGAGTTTGTTCCGACTCATAGAAACCCTGTATAGGGTTTCCAAGGAGTGGCTGATGAGTTTGAACTGCAAATCTTATGGTTCAAACTGATCTTGTGGTCGAGTGCTTATCCTATAGCACCACACCAGGACTCCTATTGTTGTAGTTGTAAAGTTCCACTGAATTGACTCTGGCCTATAGTGACCCTGTATAGGATTTCTGAAGAGCGATTGGTGAGCTTGAAACACCGACCTTCCTTGTAATTCAAATGACTTTGCAGTCCAGCACATTAACATGCAGTTCCACACCAGGACTCCAAGGACTCCTACAGTGTTCAAGAAATCCTAAGTAGGTTGAAACATACTAATCTCCTGTGAAGATCACTGTTAGGCAACAAATGATTTTCTATTGAAAGAACCTCTCTATAAAAGGCTCTTTATTCTAGCTTTTTGCTGCCATCCTCCCGGGGTCCATGTCTCACGAAAGTCTCACTATGAATATTGTTGGTGGGCTGAAGGGCTTCCTGTTTTTCTGTCTTTTCATTTACTTAAACGCTACATGCGTAGTTTGGGAACTCCTTGGTTAGGTCAAGAATGGTGTGTTCTCCATATTGTAGAAAGTAGAAGTGAAATCATTTGTAGCACTCCAGTTACTCAGGGAGCTTAGGTAATACTCTAACTCATGAGATGAACTATAAAGTGATCCATGAAACAGCTCTCTGTTCTTCTATCCTCACTAGAAAGATCTGCCACTCATTTATTTCCTTAATCTTTTTTATTTCCTGTTTTAATAATGGTTTCATTTGTTCATTCACAAATTTTCACTCTGTGCTGCAATTTTACTTCTTTTCTGTTCTTCTATAAACTGTCTGAATACTTAAAGTACACTTATCGTCACTCAGAATTCAGATTGGGTTTGAAGACTTGGGCTCAGGTTTCCAGCAAAACATTTTACCTGATTAAATTATAAAATTACTGGATTTAAAAACTGAAAGGAGTATTAGGCAGGCTACCAATAGACTTTCCCTCTGTAGAGTAAGCAAAGTCAATGACACAACCTTAGCCTGATAGTTATTAAGAAGTGTGACAACAGACTTTCCCCTAGCAGAAAGGTTCTAGATCCTTCAGGATCCTATAATCCTGTGATCTGTGACTCTTTGATCTCATGTATGAGGAGGCCTCAAAAAGTTTTTGGAAAATGGAATTAAAATATTATGAACTTATTAAATATTTGCAGAAGAAAAAGCCACATTTTATAGAGATGAACATTTTTTCAGTGCTGATATTCTTCACCTCATTGCTTATAGTTAGGCATTTTATATATTGAATTTGAAGCACATATATGTCTTGTACATTTCTTTTGCATTGTATATTTGTATGTAAGCAGTCTTTTTGTTTGTCTGAACCTTTGATTGGGCTCACCAAATATCACACTTCATCTAAGATCCTGTGGAAACATTGTAGACTTGAAGGTGGAGTGAGGGAGTTTCCTATGACAAATAAATAAAAAAAAACCAACATCCCTTTCATTTTATTCTGTTCTCAGGCAGGTGATACTGGCATATTCAGTCTATGACTGACATATGTTGCCTGATCTTTTTGAATTAGGAAGTGAAGGAGGCTAAATATATGCAAGGAAACCTAGTACTTGCACCCCTTTCTCTGTAAAGAAGTTTTTACCCTCAACCAACAGAAGGCAAAAACAGATCTTATGTTACTGCTTTTCTACAACCTACTAGGAAATGAACAGAGTGAAGGTTGTTAAAGAATAATCTAGGAGTTGAGCTTTCTTAGAATGATTAAAAAATGTAGAAAAAGTACTTCTTCAAGGATTTTTATTATTCTTGATATCTTCTATTTTTGCTCCAGTTATAGTCTCTGCTCTTGTGCATCATGTTTTGTACATAGGGAAGCTGACCCTCAAAGACTGCATCAAAATGTTTCCCTGGCCTTCATTCATTTCCTGGATTGGTTCTGTCAATGGATTGGCAAGACATCAGCGAGTGGGAGGACAGTTAAGATGAGATTTTAATTCATCCACTTTCTCCTTGCTTGATGGGCATGGATTACATGCTTTTCTCTACTGAGGGCCCCAGCTCTGGTTTGTTAGTCTTTCCATTTTGCCACCTTTCAGGTTCTAATAGCCATTCCCTCCCTTTACTCCTTCAGGTCTAGGGGTGATAACAGCTCCTTATTATTACTAGTCTTGGGCACTGAAATATTCAAATATTAGAGTTTATCTGGGCAAGACACAGTTTTTACTCATTGTCCTTTTCATAATTTGTTAATAAAGCTTAAAAGTGTCATTGTTTTATCCTTAAAAGTGTCATTGTTTGAACAAAAAAACCCCACATGATTATTAATGATTTATCTATTTGCACCATTTGTAAATGGAAGCATGTAAGACAAGCCCCGGACTGGAAACAACAAGGTCAATAGTTCAAGTTAACCAGCTGCTCTGATGGAGAAAGATGAGACTTTCTGTTCCTATAGAGAATTTAAAAAGTCAGAGAAACCCTATACAGCGTCACTGTGAGTTAGAACCAACCTGACAACAATTAATAACAACAACAAAAGCCACTTGTAAATAGTTTATTAAACTCTCCTAGAATTGCCCAGTTTGAATATACTATTTGTTTCCTGTGGGCTCCCTGTTGCCTGATAGATTTGTCTACAGTAGTCATTAATATATGACCACTAACTAACATTTCTTTGTTCACCTATTATATCTAACTTGTGACCTCATACTAGTGTTATAATTCTTGCATAGGTGATGCCTAATGTATAATTAAATTTTAGTTTTAGAATAAAGTTTCCTTACACTTGCTTTAACTGTAAAAGATGAGTTATAGGAAATTCTTCAATTTTCCTTCCCCAAATGGCATATCTTCTTAGTAGTATTACCAGCCAGAATGTGTAAGAAAACTTTGCACCTACTGTACTCTACTGAGTAATTTGATTAACAGTTGATCCCTAAATGTTTATAAATAAAAGGTCCTTAAGAAAAGTGACCATTATGTGAGTCAGGTGGTAGCTATTTGTTTATTTCTCATCTGTCGTGTTAAAGGCCTTATAAATCTCTCCTCTATGGTAAATACCACTATGGTATTTATAGCTGGGTTAAGTAATATATCTGGATTAAGTAATATATCTGGGTTAAGCAATCATTCTAAGTATTTCCTCTCTTAAATGCAGTAAGCCCCTAGTAATCATTTTGTGATTGTGTCCCATTAAAATATACTTTCTTCCCCTAGAGCTAGTCAGGGCTTCTGAGAAAGGGCTGTGTGACAATTCCAGACTCATGGCAGGGGTGGAGAGACAAAGCAATAGAAAAGGAGACTATAGAAAGTTAGGAAGAGGGTGAAGGACTCTAAAAGATTGGCCTGGGCTTATCCTCAGGTGACTGTATTACCTAGGAAAGATGTTAGGAGTTTAGACAAATTAAAGCCTGTGATCTAAATCTTGCCCATCTGCCTAATTTAACAAATAAAGTTTATTGGGACACAGCCATACCAACTATTTCATAGCTTTTGTTGCTGTGAAAACAGAATTGTATACTTGTGGTAGAAACCATCTGGCTAGTAAAGTCTAAAATACTTATCTTCTGACCCTTTATAGAAAAAGTTTACAGACCTCTGGTTCGGAGAATCACAACACTCAATCTTGCCATAGATTTTGTTGCGGATGCTCTGTAGGGTCTATATCCAAAACAAGACAAAAAGAAAAACAAAACAAAAGCAAACTTGGATAGTGTGTAAGGGCCCTGTGTCTTATCTTAAATTTGTAATTTCTCCATTGAAGACTTTCAATCAATATATCCCACCTTTCTCTTTTGCTCAGCTTTCTCTCCTTTACTCATCAAAACTTACAGATTAAACTCTTAATGACACTAGAGAGTGAAGACACTGATTTTAATTATATCATACTATTAACATTTTTAGAAGTTCAAATCTCTTTTAGAGAACATTTGCTCTAAAAATGCATTTGAAAAGATGTTAGGTATGCTAACTAGCTGCCCAAAGAACCAACAGATCTGTGTTGGAAGAAGTGCAGCCAGAGTGCTCCTTGGAGGCCAGGATGGCCAAACTTCGTCTCCCATACGTTGAACATATTGTTAGGTGGGAACAGTCACTGGAGAAGGATATCATGTTTGGTAAGGTGGAGGGTCAGAGAAAAAAAGGATGACCCCCCTCTCCCCCCATTGAGTTGGATTGGCCAAGTGGCAGCATCAATGGACTCAAGCATGGAAAAAATA